TGCTGCAACTCTACAATTCTGCAGCTAGAAAAGTCAAAAACACCCTTTTTTAATACTTTTTTTCGTTGGTGAATCCCACTGGATGTTTGCTAGATGCACAGACGTTTACAGTTGACGGCTTACTTTGAATTTAAACCCCTGTGGTATGTAGGGAGGTACTGAATTAATAATACATGTAGATAGGAAAACATTACTAGTGTTTATAATAAGGGTATTAGGAGCACTTACATTATTTAATAACACAAAAACTGATTTGATATAAAATAAAGTTATTTGAAATACTTAGAGATAGTCTCTCCCTTTATTTTCATTTTCTAGAAGAATTAAGTAATTAAAAGATGAAAAAAAAAAACATTTCGGAAGGAAAACTTTGCAGGAATTAGTCAAGGTGGGAAGAAACGGGGTCAAGGATAGGATTGTTTCCTGTTGCTTATTATCTTGGGTTAACTATGTTAAAAATATTTTAGATGAGGCATTTACTTATTTATGGACAACACAACAAATGTACAATGTATTTAAAAAGAATACTTGGACTTTGAAATGACTCACTATTATCGTTTTATTAATTGTTAAGCTTAATATCTATATCGAAAAAAAGCTTTGTTATATTTTCCTTGTGTAAGAAAAGGCCGTCGATTGTAAAAGTCAGTGCTTCTTACAAATGTCCATTAGGACACCTTATTTATATCTGCTTATATATTTGATTCACAATTAGGGAAATTGATATGTAGAAGTTTAAAGAGAACATTAAATAGAACATTCTTTAATCGGTATTACGTGAGTACTTTTAGGTGAGCACTTAGTGACTCTCAGGATAAAAGATTTGAGATATGTTTAGATGTATATAAAAATAGGACTTGGTCGATCAGGGTATTAAACATTTGTCTTTACTTCAGAATTAACTAAGATTTACCAATTTTTATGAATGTTTTGTTTACAAAATTAAAAAAATATATATTTTAACTTTGGATTTCAGATTAGATCTATTTTACTTTTAAAGATTAATTTTGCACATGTATAAGTGTTGCGTTTGATATAAAATTGGAAGATACCTTATATATTCACATATTACGAGTATTTCCAATTTTAAAGAAAAAACATTAAGAGAAGTGATCCCTAAAATTTTTTTCCAAAATGTTTTAATTTAGGGTTTTATATTAAATCAAAGTATTAATCATTATACAGTCGTGGACTGTGTTGTATACCTAAAGTTGATCAACTGGACCCGATATGCATGTAGATAAATATATATAACAGCATAAATGATGACTGCACTTAACGCTGTGGTCTTTTGGGGTCACTTCTGTTGCTTTTAAATCTAATTCTAATATCATCTTTGTATATTTACTACTGAGGTCTGTCAATTTGGCATTTACATGTTAGAAATAATTTTAGACTGTGATACAATAAACTAATTCCATGTTTTAATTCCATACTGTCTTCCGAATACAGAAGATTTACACTTACCTATCTTAGATTTAACCTTATATATGTCTGAGAGGCGGAGCTGACATCGTAAGAATTGGTAGAAAATTAGGTTGGATGAATAACAATGATATGTACTCAAATATACGAGATCCATATTTTCCATCTCCTTATTTATTCTATATTGCAGCACAAGTACATTACATACAATGTCATTAATATAATATGAGGCCGTCCATGTAGGTAAAGAATAATTTAAATCGATGCCTGACAATTTAATGTGTTCGAACACAGTGTCCTAGCTAGCAAAAATATGCAACCTTTAAGTCACGTGAGGGAATTTTGTACTCACAAAGCTACCTAAGGAAAGATACCATGTGGTGAATTATAATATAAAAACGAGTCATGTGCAGCCCTTGGTTACAATAGAGAGGGAGGTCGTAAGAAAATGATTTTTTCTGTTTTAAACAATGCGCACATGTTTGTCTATTAATCTCCTTTTAATACAACATTATTTATGCAAATTTACAACTAATGTAAAAAGTAGAACAGTAGACAAACGTGCGCAGACTATGTATGAAATCAGTGAAATGAATGGTGCCTTATCAGTTAACAATACATACGGTAAACATATTACATTTGACTGTGTATTCTATTTAAAGCCTTTTGCGGAAAGCATCATCCGCTAAATCAAGTACATCGCTAAATGTTTTGTTTTCATATGTTCATATAAAACACATCCAGACACCGCTTATTCAAATAAACGCTAAGTTGTTTAAAAATCAAATTCGGCCAAATATGGCACACGCCAAATAAAATACATTTACTGTATATTCATTTATGTGTCGATTTGATATATCCCAGAGAACTCAAAATAATAGACACCACATAGTCCGCCACATCTGCTTCATTTCTGGATGTTATTCCGATTATAGACGACAAAGGTCGACTCACAACTAAATTGTATGACATTAGACATTACTTCACCTTTTTTATCCTCAACTTTACTTATTTATGAAGTAATATTGAAATATTCTGCTATCACCAGGTATTAGGTATGTTTATTCCTCCTAGTTTATTTTCTATCAAAGGAAATTTTCTTAGTATGATCAATTTTGAAACTGAGACAGGCTATCAACACATAAGTTGATGTTACAAGGATTTCAAGTTCATTAAAAGTCAGCATTTTGTAAACTCTATGGCTGTTATAATGACCTTTCTAAAACATTTAACCGTTCCCTGGATCGTATTTTGGCTGATTTGTTTAATGTTTAATGTAAGACCTTTGTTTTTATGCTAATTTTGATTACGGAAATACTGTTTACTTGATCAAAGCTTAGGGCTTACAGCGGGTGTGACTCCATCTAGGCACCTGGTCCCACCTCTGTAATTTCCAGGAGTCAGTGTTTATGTCCTGCTCACAGATTTGTATTGTTTGAAGTTTTAATAAGATCGATCACAGAACATTATCTTAACCCTTTCTCATTCAAACAATATAAATCAGGAACAGAGCAAATACGCCCCTCTAGAACACCGGAGGTGGGATCAGGTGCCATGGAGGGTGAGCATCCCCTGTCGACCGGTAAAACCAGCCTTTTGCTCCTTGTCTTGATCGAAAAGTAGCAGAAAACCTCGTCAATTCAATGTGTAAATAAAACATCAGTCAGAATTTGATTTAATGATAGATTATATTTGCTGACAAGGTCATTGTATCCACCATAGAACTTCTAATATGTTAACTTTAAATGAGTCTGTTGATATTCTTGATTTCTCAACTTGCTTGTCTATAATTTACCTCTTTTTAGAAATTGGTCATTCGTAGAACATGCTCTTGTGTATCGAATCAACTGAAAGATATAAACCCCGTATCCAGGTGATGAAGATACGTTACTGCATTAAGTAAGGGAAGACATATAAATTAGATTGAGAGAATATTTTTTTTTCAAAAGCCACCTTTTGATATGAATATGCTACGGCTAGAATATTTTTACTTTGATGGCTACTTAGGCAATAGTGCGAAGTGGAAAAACTTTGATCTGTAATGCACCTAGAAACTTCAGAGAGTTGGAGAAAGTGGACATATGTATGCAGCAAAGTGTTTCAAACAGTGAATATATAATTATACATATAGCTTTCAATGTATTTTATTAAAATAAAAAAGAAGCAATGATTGTTTTAAGCTTTTATGCTAAAAATGTTATTAACAATGTATTAACAAAAGATAAACGACTTCAGTTCACTTTGCAATACTTTGTAGCGAACTAGTTAATGTTATAAATTTGGGTGTAATGCTTCACATTACAGAGTGTTCCAAGTCTTGCATTCATAGCAACCAGAGCGTCGTGTGTTATGGAGGCCATCGTGGGATTGGAGTCAATGATATCTATGACATTTTTCTGAGGAAATTCAAAAACATAACAATTAGACAAAATAAACCATAACAAGCGTATAATTCTTAAAAGGTCACGTACTGACAAATTACTAACTAAGGGATTTTTGAGGATTTTTTGTTGTTGTATGAAACCTTTATAATTCTTGTCTTGTACTTGACATACATTATGCAATAGTGTCAACTTGGAAAAGCAGAAACTTTCTTTAACGTGAACAGTGTTTGTCAGATTTTTAAAAAGTATTGAATTAATTTACCTTGATCTTTCTTTTATAAAAAGCATCACACTTCTTTACTTTTTCTGATAATTTCCTTTTTTTTCAAAGTATTGAATAATTGACCTCGTAATCTCTTAAATTATCTTATAGATTTATTAAAGCTTTTAGAGCAATCTTAAAAATGTTTTCCTATCATTTCCCAATTAAGGAAAAAAGTATTGGTTGGTAGGTAATACACAATACACTACTGAATTAAATATCCCCCCTGTCAGTCCCTGAAATTTTCCTCTCTCTCCCTGACTTTCTCCTATGATCCCTGTCCACTCCCTGCCGTCCCCTGTCGTTGTCCCTGCCCCCGTCTACGACTTGTCGTCCCCTGACATTCTCTGATCTCCCTGTCCACTCCCTGTCGTGGGCCCTGCCTACCCTGACTTCCCCCGACATTTATTTTGGCCAAGAAAAAAAAAGAGTTTAAAATATATTTTTGCAAATCAAGAGTGAAAAATGCTTTATTCGTGAAAACTCTAAAGTTTTTTTGAAAATGTAGACTTAGTAATAAGCTAACACATTTTTAAATGCCTTAACTAAATCCTCTGTATATAGTTTTATGATTTGTATTGATTTTTAAGTTTGGTAGCATTTCGGAAAAAAAAATACAACGTTCAAGCAGTTTTTAAAATATGTAGGGATACTATATCTATCTAGTATAGAAATAAAAAGATAAGGATACCTGTTGAATGGATCTTAAGTGTCTATTTATTTTTTTTAGTAAAAAATACTAGAATCATTTTTTCAACCATTAATGATTTATCTAATAAACCTAATCAAACACTAACATCACATTGCTATTGCTAATTTCATTTTTACTCACATAGATTCCACTGAAATATGGCTAAAATATTGCCGATTCAGCGTTAAACAATAATTAATTAACCAATCAATTAATCAATCAATCAATCAACTGACCTCAATGACGTGAAGTCCATGTGAGTTATGAACGTCTATCTGTTCCTGTGGACTTGTTTTATACAGGTAACAGGTATGTGCAGATCTCACTAACAAAACATGCTACAATGTAAAGTTTAACAATTATCTATATTAAATTAGCTACAATGAACAAGTGATAAAAATTAGTCTATCTGCACAATTATTTTTAACCAATTGTAAGAGGAAGGAGTTAATCTACCAACACAAAACAAAGTTTTTGCTGTGTTTAAACCTTTAAAGACATCATTGATTTTTTGAGAATAGTAAGTAGTTCTGAGCGACTTTGCATTGCCAAACTGAGCTTTGTTGCAAATTCTATAGCTGTCAAAGAGCACTTGTTTTCAATATTTTAATAATAATTTACATTCAGTGTAATTTTCTTTAAGAAATCCATTTGACTTTTAATACGCTCACTTGAATCTTCTTTGTTTTGAACATATTTTATTTGTTTAATCAAAAGGATTGGAAACACGTTCTGTACAACTTACTAAGTTCCTCTCCTTAAATCTTTTTTGTTACACAGCAACATTCACAATAGGTCCTAGTTCCATTTTTAATACAATAGAACTACCAGAATGCATATTTTTGGCTTAATTTAATTCAGTACAATTAACAAATAAAAATAGTGTAAGAATTATAATCAAATTTAAAATATAATATATGAAGAGAGAAAATTAGCACAAAATTGAACTGGATATTGGTTTATACCAGTACCTGTTCATGACGACAAATAACCATATGGGCTAGAGACATGATCACACTCTGTTATAGAACCAACGGTATTTATACATAGATAACCTTGTCTGAAATAAGGTTCTAGAAGAAGAAATGTTGGTTATTATGTATATAAATTACACATAATTAAGTGTGATTTTTGTGAAATTTTCTACTAAATAATTGAATTTCATCTTAGCCTATAAAAGTTGTTAAAATTCCACCTGCGTCAAAATTAAACGATGTGCAGCTGTATTAAGTCCCTATATTACATGATATATAATGGACCTTTTTAAGGTATTTGCGACATTGTAAGTTTTTACTTCTTCGAATTACCACTACAGCAACTGTTAACTATAGGTAATAGATGTGTGCTCATATGATTTTTAAATGAACTACACGAGGTAAGAACCGCCCATATCCACTAAAAGCGAATTTTCTACCTTACTAATTGATGCCTGTACTGTAAACAACTTCAATTTGCGTACGAGAAATATCTGCGAGTTTCGCGATATACATGAAATTGTCGCAAACAATCTATTTTGCTTTTTATTTGTAGAGAACGTTTTCTTACTCGTGAAGATTAAACACGTATTGCAGTGTTTGGCCAAAATATCCGAAAGGGAGTCGGGGGTTTCCAGGTGGCTTCTATAAGAAGACTCAGAGGAATCAGTGGATCGCGAAAGGAAGAAGTATTAAGATGCTATTAAGGACTTTGCTCCGCTCTCAACGCTTAATAGCAACTCAATGCTCAATAAAGTTTTGGTTTCTAGAAGAAGACATAAAAGTGCATACCTAATGTAGTGATTGTTTTACCGTGTGATAGTCGTAATAGAATGCGAAGAACTCTCCAACTGATGCCTCGTGAGTGGGACGTGTTCCATGAGGGTGTGTATGGTGGGGTCGATGTGTTGTAGTTGCAGCTGCAGCCTTGGAAAAAATTAATCAATTTTAAATTGCAACAAAAAAATTATCCGGTAATACTAGAGGGGAAGCATGGCGCATCACAATTGACGATAGAAAAGAATCAACGAGTTTGATAAAATTCCTTCAACCACAACCTACAGGGGATCCTATATTTATTTCCTTGTTGGAAGATCTGACCTCAAGGCCATAAACTGAGAACAGACCTTGGTCAAAACTTTGATTCTTAATATCTTTAATTTATTTAGCATACGTTAAAAAAATTGCACAGTTATGTATAATATACACAAATTCCAACAAATGATGCAAATTTAGTTTCGTTATCATTTCATTCAAATGTTATCCTGATTAGAAATTTTGACTTAAGTCTATTTTCATTTATGGTCATGGGATCTGGTCTCTAAAATCCATTGAGATTATAAGCAGTATTCAAGCTCAAAAGTCCATTCAAAAGGATATTATTTCTTCCTGCAATCTATCGGGATTCACCTAGATACTAATGGTGCCCTATTATTAACTATTTTCATATTTCTAAGAAGCGGAATTTATTCAAAGGCTTAAACATGATAAGAAAAAAAAACCACTTGCTGTGGCCTTCAATTAGACTTTTAGATATATCGACGATGTATTATCAAATTAACAATAGTTTCTTCCATTAACATTTCGACTCCATGTATCAAAATGAGCATGAAATAAAAAAAAGGAGTCTCACACATCTTGTTTCATATTTGGATATATTACTAGAAAAAGACATTAATGGTAACCCATCAGCAACGTTTTATGATAAACGTGATGATTTTTACTTTTCACTCTTCAAACCTCCCTTATATATATGTTTATAACAATATGTCTGCATTCACCTGCACATGGGATAGATTTCTACTAGTTGAATCGATGTTCGAGAGCATGTTCTACTTCTGCACAAATTCTAACACAATACAAAATATGGGCAAACAAGTTAATAAAACAAGGATATCAGCAATCTTGTAAATTCAACCTAAATGGAATGCTTACTGACAATGGAGTGTAGTTTAATTTTTACTTTTTTCTCGATCATGACAAGGAACAGACGCCGGATGTGACCGGTTGACAGAGGATGCTCACTTCTTCATGGCACCTGATCCAACCTTTGATGATTTTGGATGTCCGTATTTGATCTTATCCTGATATTGTTAAATTGACTTTGAGCTTGAATATTGCTCATTATCTTCATATTTGATCAAGTTCATTTTCCCGCCAAAACTATCTAAAGTATCATTTAACCAATATCATCTGTTTATGATTAAGGATAAACATAAGATAAAAAGAAATATGAATGGATCATAAGTTACTTTTGATCTACTTACCAAATAAATGCAGCACACGGATGCAATGATTTTCAGCATTATTTGATGTGTGAAGTTCTAAAGAGAAATGTGAATCGTGATTGACCAGATCCTTATTTTATTTCTGTACGATAATGCCTAATCTCTTATCCTGACACTTACCAAGTACATGTGTCCCAGTGACGTTCTATTTATGTTATACCGATTTCTCTGTTACGTCCATCATAGAACTTGGTTGTGAGATTACCATTAACGTCTTTCTCAAGTAAAATATTCAGATATGAAACAGATGTGTCAGACTCTGTGGTGTCTTTAATCTCAGGCTCACCGGGATATATCGTATGGACATTAAAATGGTAATTACCATTGTAAATTGACAATACGTCGTCGATATATCTTAATGTCAAGTTGAAAGCTAGTGTTTTCTTCTTTTCACGAATAAATTTTTGCACAAAAACTGTCTCAAGTGAATACAAAATGGGGTCTGCTAATAACGGGACTCAATTGGTACCTATGGGAATTCCAGTAGATTGTTAGAGGACCTGGTCTCCAAAAACCACATAGATGTTGTCAATCAGAAACTCAAGCATCTTTTTATGTCAAATTCAAAGTACTTGTCTGTACAATCAGAATGTTTTTTGTTAACAAAATAATTTTGCAAATGACCAATTACAAATTAAGGTACCCGGTAAGTAAATTTATGAGTTCCATTTTTATTGAAAAAGCAGCTGTCAAAGATACAAAAAAGCCTGGACTTTAATTTATCGTGGGGAATGGTTGTGTATAAAGTTGAAAAGTCATTAATTTTTAAGCTGTTGATTTTTGAAGAATATTGTGATTTCAAATTGTCCGAAAGTTCATTGGAATTTTTTAGTATCCACACTTGATTTACACCACTTCTTGAAATATTTTTTGCACAGTATACGTGAAGTTTTCCTTCACTACTGTCAATATCTTAGTGTGGAGTAAAGAAAGAGGCTTGGTTGAACATTTAATGGAACCCGCAATGTACGAGGGATGTTCAATAAATAATGTCCTCGGTGCTCGGAAAGCAACAAAAACGCTTTTCAAGGATTTAGCCTTAATGATTTTACTTTAATATTTTCATTTAATTGAAACATATGTCCGTAACATATTTTTATCCAATTTCTGATTTTTTTGAAAACGCATTTCGCAGTATTGCCCTTCGCGTATACTGGAATATGGAAGATCCTATGATTTCCTTGACTTGTTTCTTCTTTCTGAATGGTGTTTTTTCAAGTTTGGAAAATTAAACAAGTGAAAGGATGAAAGATCTGGCGAATATTGTTGGTTTGACAAACATTAACTTTTTGTTTGCTCTTGTTTACGGATTCTTTACCATGCATTTCTAATGCAGTGTCTCGAATAGACCTTGTTTTCCAGCTTCTCACAAAGAAACTATGTAAAAAAAGTGATCAAATAAACTGTAATCAATTCATTAAAGATTCATTCATAAGAGTCAAGCTTAATGTAGTCCGATCCTCAGGTTTATAAAGTTAGCAGTTTTAAAGTAATTAAAAATACTCATAAAAGCATCTCTGAATCCACTATTAAGTAAACTTATCTACAGTATTTCTTTAGAGTTAATGATTAAAATTAGTCATATTATATAGGGAAAATTGTTAAATCTCCATATTTTCGCAGAAAAAGCGAATTGGAATATCAGCAATGCATTTTCTAATTGCAAATTGATCAACAAATACATTTTAGGTTAAAAAGTATCCAGGCATTCAGAGAAATTGTCATAATTTTTACACTTATTTTTTGTCTTCTACTTCCGTCATGTATTCTATAATACATAGTGTAAAAGGCTTTTGTTATCATTGCAAGACATTACAAATCACTTCTTATTTCATATCATACTAATAGCATTGGTATCTAAGGCTGGATTCAAGAAAATCTTATTTTGTTAAAACTGTACTATTTTTTTTTCCTTTTATAAGATACAATTGTCAACGTTTATAAGACCTTTTCTAAGACTTCAAAAAACCTTGAATCATAATGATGAATAAAATGAAAATTGTTGCATGGAAAAAAAAATCATTTTTAAGCTTCATTTTGATGCATTTCAAATAAAATATTAAGTTTTGAGGATCAGATATCCTTAATGTCATAAGATTTCCATATTGTATGTCATAGAGCTCAGGACATCATTTACTGAACATCCCTCGTATCTTTTTTGTAAGGATTCTTATAAAGTTTCGGAATCCAGTACATATATAGTAGTTCAAAATCATTTTGTTTTTCGGGATATTAAAAATATTCAAAACTGACATATGATTTTGAAGAAATTTCTTCCTTAGAAAGGGAACTATGAATTCAAGTTGGATTACCACTTGTAGAATTAAGTCCAAGTTCTTCTAAAATACAATTCATATAATAAGCCTTACAAATAAAGACAATGTTATTACCTGCTTTAAATTGTCAGCAGGGACCAGTACGTATTGATCATGTGATCTGTCTAATTCTTTTTTCACTTCTGGATCACTGAATACAGAAGGATAGATGGTTTTCATATTGCCTCTCAATCTTGTAATACGTCATAATGTATGTATGTAATACATCATAATGTATATATATAGATGTATACTGATTTATGTAAATGTATGTTGGTATGAAACTATGTATTTTATATTAGATTGTAAAATGCTCATAATATTCCAAAATAATATATTTTGCATTAAGTTCATAATTATATGCCAATTGTTTATTCTTTAAATTATTATTTTGCGTTACACTTATATGTATTTGATTGTATGAGTATCTTGAATACTTGGGGTACAGGTTTGCCAGACGGCTGTGTAGAGGCTTCATCCCCTGGTGCCCTCTGTATTCAAGCTACACTGTCGTACTGCCATTATTACAAAAATGTTCTTTTTTAATTTTTTTTTATCAAATTGTTTTCTATATTTTTGATCCAGTGTGAGGCTATAGCTGTATACTGTGAATATGTTACAAATTTAGACTACATTTTCATGATGAATCAACTTGTGGTATTGCTCTTCTACCATTTTAACTACATGTTTCTAAACGATGTCTTTGAAAATCACTAGTTTGTGTGCTCAGGTGGGTTGAGTTGGTGAACATTTTCTATGATTTACTATTGGCTAAGAATTTTCATTGGTACATGTATTATCATAATGAGTTATAAAATCAGATTTTTTTCTTTTGTAATATAAGGGAGCCGAATCTAAATTCAATTTACTGCAGATCCAGCGATTCCAGACTGGACTTACTACCACCTCGCTCAAGGTATTTTATTATATGTTAATAACTTTGGTTTTCAATTTTTCTAGCTTCGTAAATGAATGCTTTAAATTATCAGTAATTAAGTTAATGCTTTATTTGTCATATATGTAATACATGCAATGCATTACTATGTATATATTGTATATATTTACATTTACTTATCATAATTTTTTTTTGTAGAATCCTTTAATTGTTATGTGAATAAACATAAAAAAAAACACCACCTTCTTATTTTATTTATCACTCGCGGTCACAATACTATCCAAATTGTAATTATAGTATAACAATGGTATGCCCCTGAGGACCCTTTATTAGTGAATAAACATATATTTAATCAACAGTTCATAAATTTGGGACGATATGGAAACCTGACCTTCAACTTTTATTTATCTCGTAAAATTTAAATATATTTTGAACCTATTAAATGTATGAGAAGTTATACACATATCATGATATTGAACAACCGTATATATAGGTCATTATATTTAATAAAATTAATGTTCATTTACAACACTTTGAGGTTGAGAGTGCCGGGAAAACATTAATCTGAACATGAACAAAAAGCTTGATGCATAAGATCTCAAGAAACAGATCCCATGTTTTAATTGCATATGATAATTGTAATCTTAATTTTGAAAAATATAAAGGATGACTGCACTTAATGCTGTGTTTTTGTCTTTTTCGTTCGCCTCTGTTGTTTTTAAATCTTAACCTAACTTCAGTTTTGCATATTTACTACAGAAATCTGTCAATTTGCTACCTATAAGTCACGTGACGGAATTTAGTATTCACAAAATTACCTGAGGAAAGATATCACGTGCTGAATTATAATATTAAACCTGTCTCAGTCCTTGGTTACAACAGATAGAGCGAGTGAAAGAAGAAGCAGTTTTTTTTTCTCTTTTAAACCATGAGCGCATGTTTGTCTATTAATCTCCTTTTATCACAACATTATTAATGCAAATATACAACTACTGTTAAAAAGAGAACAATAGACAAACATACGCTGTCTATGTAAAAAAAAAGTGGGAGTCCTCATAATCGTACGGAGAAATGATAAATTGTGAGGACCCCCGCCTTAGAAAACAGTTTCGTACATCGTAAATGCGTATTTTTAATTATTGTAACTAAGTAAAGTTGCATTGAGATGGTACAGAATCGCGCACTTCGTTACTATTTGGGGGTACACAGATTTACGCCGATACCAGCATTACATGGAGAATTCGGTTGGAAGCTGCCTTTCCATAGACACTGCATTAACGCTGTACGATACTAGAATCGTTTACTGACAATGGAGGACAACCGCATAACAAAACATGTTTTCTTGTGGGAACTAAATCAATGTAATAAATATAGCTGGACGTCGCAAATTAAATTTCTATTTGAATCGGTGAATTGTGAACATGTTTATCATAGGTTATTAATGTTTGATATAGTTGAATTTGAACAAAGATTACTTTTAAATTATGAGAGTGAATGGCTAGTACGAAAGCCTATTAGGATCAATCTAAAGAGAAAAAAAAATTCAAAAGGCGTTATAACGCCTTTTGAAAAGGAGTATTAATGCGAAAAAAGGCGTTATTACGCCTTACCATTCCAAAAAGCGTTATTACGCCTTTCCATTCAAAAAAGGCGTTATTACGCCTTTCCATTCTAAAAGGCGTTATAACGCCTATCCAAAAGGCGTTATTATGCCTTTCCAAAAGGCATTATTACGCCTTTTAAAAGGCGTTATTACGCCTTTTAAAAGGCGTTATTACGCCTTTCCATTCTAAAAGGCGTTATTATGCCTTTCAAAAAAGCGTTATTACGCCTTTCTAAAAAGCGTTATTACGCCTTTCTAAAAGGCGTTATTATGCCTTTCTAAAAGGGTTATTACGCTTTTTGAATAACCATTATTTTGCATTTAACAGGCCCGTGATTTTAATACCCCCCCCCCCCCCCCCACCCCTCTACTGGCCAAACTCGTGGAGGGACTTCTCGGTAAAACTTTATTTAAATGCAGTAATTTGCCACAGTTTTACATACTGCAACAAAATGTTCAGGAACCAAACAACCGATAGTTAATTATGAAATTTAAACTCTAGCAAGACTTTTCCCCAAAAAGTGTGTATGTGTGGAGGGGGTACCCCATTCACACTCGTACTACTGGCCTACTTGAAAAGGAAAATGGAAAGGCGTTATTTTATGTTAATAAATATATGAAAGATTTAATTAAAACCATCTTTATTTATGCAATTCTCTATATTCCTGCACATCTCACTGACAAATGCTTGCATTCGTATTAAGAGAAGGCAACACTCTAATTGTGAAGATCTAGGATATAGGCAGATGTATCTTGGAGCTTAGCTTGCCATGTATTAAAATTCATGTCATTTGAAGATGTTTTTCTCTCTTCTTGGAAAAAAGCAGGCAAACTATTTGCATGGGTATAATGAGCAATGACCCTTGGTAGAGGTGTGCCTTGTATTAAAAAAAGACTGACTCAGTTGGTTTAACATCGAAAATATATGACGCATTTAAAAATCTTTTTTCCTGGAAATCTAATTGCTATCTGTTTAAATTATTTTTTGAGAATTAAATTAGTCCTTTATCTAATTGTGAAATTAATGTCCCAAAGGTAAGATTTCTGCCCCCCCCCCTTCTCGGTTGGGCTAAATATGTTTAGTATTCACGTAATAACGCCTTTTAGAAAGGCGTAATAATGCCTTTTGGAAAGGCGTAATAACGCCTTTTAGAAAGGCGTAATAACGCCTTTTGGAAAGGCGTAATAACGCCTTTTAAAAAGGCGTAATAATGCCTTTTGGAAAGGCGTAATAACGCCTTTTGGAAAGGCGTAATAACGCCTTTGAGAAAGGCGTTATAACGCCTTTTAAAAAGGCGTAATAACGCCTTTTGGAATGGAAAGGCGTAATAATGCCTTTTTTCCTGTTATAACGCCTTTTAATTTTTTTTTCTATAGATTGATCCTAATAGGCTTTCGTAGTAAAGATAAAACAACTACCTAAATTACGTATGTATAAAGATTTCAAAACACATTTTAATACTGAAAACTACCTAGAAAGGAATATTTCAAAATTTCAAAGATCTATTCTTGCTCAATTTAGATGTGAAATTTTACCAGTTAGAGTTGAAACTGGAAGATATAAAGGAGAATCATTAGAAGATAGGTTATGTAATTTTTGTTCTAAAGATGAAGTAGAAGACGAGTACCACTTTTTATTAAATTGTACAGAATATTTAAATTTCAGATCAGATTTATTTACTAGTATTAGGTGTAACCCAACTTTTTCTATGTTAGATCAAGAGAGTGTAAATTTTCTTTTAACAAATTTTCCTACGCAGACCTAAAAATATTTATACCTTTCATACATGCACTGTTACAACGCACTTTGAAAAATTACGCACGTTGAAAAAAATTTTCAAAGTGCGTTAAAATTTGGGACCAAGCTAACGCACTTTGAAAAAAATATTTTTTTTTCAAAGTGCGTTAATATCGACGATATTAACGCACTTTGAAAAAAATGTAAAGATTGATCAATATTCCTTCAAATAATCGGTATGATAAATAACAGATCCTGGTTTGATAACTTTTTTATGAGAAAGTCACTGTAGGACCTGAGATACTGACGTTTTAAATATTTAAGGTTTTGATAAAATAAAAGGGAAAATTAAAGGGTCTTGAAAAAAAGAATGACGATTGTTTAAGTTCATTAATTCGTTTCTTCTTTTTTTCTATTCTAGTCTTTGATAAGTAGATGTAAAGGTGTATAGGTGGCACTAACAGAGGACAGCTTAAGCAACTTAGCATTTATCATAATAAAAAGGGGCCAATTTGATTGTTCAAAACTATAAAATTCTTTCTCTCTCATACATTTTACTGTACCTAAAAATTTCTAGTTTTCATCTGTTTTAATTAACTCATTTATTATTGAAAGTTTTTAAAGTCATACCAGTTAGGTTAATACATAATTATATGAATGCTTTGAGTATAGCATAGACATCGAGACTGGGGAGGGGATGGGGGGGGGGGGCTAAACCCCCCACTTATTTATGTAATAATGGAGAATTGGAAATATATTGTATATCTGTTGGTGTATATCAGTATGGGATTCAGGCAGATGGACACTAGGGGTTTCACCCCTTGCAGACTCTCACCTCTCGTCATTATGTATTTTTGTTTACATAAACTGATGAGCCATATGGCTTAAAGTTATTGAATAAAGAATTATATTTTGGAAAGATATATACATCGTATAAGCATTGAAAATGCAGCGTACCCTTTTTAGGTTTATTGCTCCCCCCCCCACCCCGTTTGTTACCGACACCTATGTATTGGAAAGATAAAGATTTGGACTTAGGGATCTTATACCCGTCTTCTCCTCTTTTCGACGGAAGTAAAATCAATTCATTTTTGAGGTTAGGGTTAGGTTTAGTTTTTTGAAAGATAAATAATTTAATTTCACTTGTATCAAGCGATTTCATTGGCTGAATAATTCAGAGGAACATATAATATTTTGTATAACATAACTTGCCTACGTCACAATGAGTTACGTCAAAAACGTATTGCTCCGCTTGACGTTACTTTTAAAATAATGCTCAATTTAAAGCCTTATTCTGGAGGAAAAATTTTCTTATTGCCTACACTGAAATTAAATTATAAGGAATGAAGCTAATTTCAACTTATGTTATACGATATAACAAAACTTGGGGCAGTTTACGCTTTTTTATAAACCGCTTCGCTTCGCGGTTTATAAAGCGTAAATTGGAAATAAGTTATGTTATATCGTATAACATAAGTTGAAATTAGCTTCATTCCTTAAATAACAAAGAAAATCTTTCCATGACTAAAATATGATTTTTTTTTCAAAGTGCGTTATTAACGTTAAGTGCCTCCATGGCAAAATATATTGATGTAGACTCTTAACGCACTTTGAAAAATTTTTTCAAAGTGCGTTGAGTCGGTCCCAAATTTAACGCACTTTGAAAAAAATTTTCAAAGTGCGTTGATTTTGTCCCAATTTTAACGCACTTTGAAAAAATTTTTCAAAGTGCGTAATTTTTTCAAAGTGCGTTGCCACAATGCACAGGCAATCTCAGTTGTACAAAAAACGCCATGCGCAATATTTGTGTATATATTTTTCATATATTTTGTTAAAAGTGACATATAGGTCCGATGGGCCGGGTGTTTGGATATTAATTGTATTAAATGTTTTTTCATTGTACTGTATAACACATATCACTATAATAAACAATTTACTAACTTACTTACTTTACTTTAGATAAGATGTTTAAAGTTTATTTTGACGCAAATTTCGCAAATCCTTAAGTGCAGTCATCTTTTAGGTATGCATAAAAATCGATAAATTAATTTTAAAAGCGGTTCCATATTCAATATTGAAAAAATACTGAAAAATGAGCTTCGAATGAATTTTTAACTCAGTTAAAATGCTTTGTTACAGCAAGGACGAATATGTGCCAATGAACAATAAAATGTATATATGCGGCAAGAGAGAATGCCTTAATATTGTCTTCTTCCATGATGATAATGTTTATACAGAAGGACAAATGTACATGTATACAGTCAAAATGATTAATTAAACTAGACATAATTAATAAATATGTACTGTTTTTAATTTTATTACAACTAATACATGTATCTTACTTTTTCACGGGAGACAAAAATTATATTAAAGTATTTCATTCGTGCTATTGAATAAAGAAATCACCACAGAAGCCGCCGTGTAGCATGTACATGCATACAATTTTCTTAACGTGTTCACGTACCTCATGTATTGTTTTTTGTTTTTGTTTTTTTCGTTTTATTTTGTATTTTTTTTTTAATATTTTAAAACAATATTATAAGCTTAAACGACAATTACACATGAAGTAATTATTTTTCTTTTAATGCAAGCACTTGATGCTACACTCAAGGTTATCAAGTGGCATCATTAATAATCCCTTCCGTGCCTCAACCTGCATCCATATAAACGCACATGGAAGGGAAAGCTGTGAATTTACGCGATTGAAGTCACAGTGACCTACGATGTCCACGACGAGTTTCCGAATTCCCGATCTGCTTATTAAAAAAAGGGATGGGAATGCCCTCACCCCCGGGGAAATTGAATATTTCGTCAGGGAGGTGGTCAGTGGAGGAGTGCAGGAATGCCAGCTCGGTAAGATATTACATAACATGTACAATGTTTATAGTTATAGATGTGGCGTATTGAACCTGTAGGAGAGAAGAGAGCATTTCGCCTGCAAGAAATTCAAGATTCTTTTAATAATTAAAGTTAATGTAGTTAATGACATAAACTTTCTTTCCTAGAGACACCTAGATGAGGTCCTGGTGACCTATTAAAAACAATAACATCTGCATTTGCCTCGTGGATAATAATTTATCAAGCCTTACATATGTGTACGCGTGGAGAGAGAGAAAGAGAGAGAGAGAGAGAGAGAGGCTGGTCCATGGCAAAATTTTTCAATTGTTAAGTCGAATTATATTATAATTTAAATGCGTATTTTGTCATTATTTATTTAAATGAACACAACATACATGCAGATAAAAAAGAAATATAGTGGGCATGAAACTGTTACACACTAACATGCACACACAGACACATTCGGACAAGCTGTTGACCTTCCTCTGTAGCTAATGAGAGATCGATTTTATCTTACACACGTGTGTCCATTCGTGATAATTACTTAGCAAGCTTTGCCAGACTCCAAGAAATGGATTGGCATTTTCTGACATTCCTCAAATATTGTTGGCCCTATTGTAAATTATATCGACAATCAATTTTATATTAAATGCCACTGTAAATCTAAACATTTCGACTACAATGCTTATACAAGTAAGTATTTCCGGGGCGAATGGAAGGTGATATTGGTCACAATTAATAATGATATGTGTATAACAAAGGAATTTTGTTTGAAACATATTTAATTTACAGATCATTCTGATAAAAAGGAATAGTAATAGTATAGTTATTTGTGCAACTCTCTGCATGTGAAAAATTTCTCGCTAATAAAAAAATCCTTTCAATAATTAAGAAAATTGACTTTAAATCCACATGCTGTAAAGTCATTGATGTCGGTTTCACCTGTGTATTTGCACACATAAACAATTCTGTGGGTAACTCCGTTGTTTGCTTTCACTTAATCATTTAATGAAACATGCAGTTCTATAGAAATGCGGTGCTGTAAGAAGAATTGAAGTATTTGTTTTTATCTCAACGTTTCGGTCAGCAGATAAACCCAAAAGATATGTCTAAGAGTAAAATAAGAACTGGATTATGTCTGTTATCGGAACGTGCTGGTAACATGGCAAACTAACATAAGATTCAAAACACTGATATGGAGTCAGCGTGATAAAGAATATATACAGGTACCTGAAGCAAACTGTACCGGCAGAAACGTAGGTTCGGACTGTTGATTTACCCTTTTCAACCTCAAATAAAGGTGCTAAAAATAAAATATTTGCATGACATTAGACAGCACATTCCCCATCATGCAGTTTAAGTAAAACAACTGACAGGTTCATTATAGTGAAAAATACTGCTTTTGCTTTAGGTGTGAGCTATATAAATGGAAAAAAAACACGCATAACACACAGTTCAAATTGGTCAATAAAATATGATAAAATAAAATACATTTTTGTTTTTGCCTTGTCGATTTTTTTTTCATCCCGTTGAACTCGTATTTGCGCACAGATTCATTATCGAATGTCAATAATCGCAATTGTTCGTAAAGTTTAAATCTTGTGAAAAACATCTTCATTGTACATCTGTCCGCGGACAAAGATGACATTTTTTTTAAGGTCATTCATTGTGAATAAATGGAGAATGAATAATCAATAAATATCAGATTTTTAAATGTTTGCTAGGACGCTTAGTAGATAAAACGGGATTTTTTAAGGTTCAATTACACTTTCTCTGACATCAACTGAAGATACGAATCCCTATAGAATGGAAGTAGATCTTTATGATGATCTGAAAGATGTATATTTTCATATCCACATATTTTATTTATTTTTTGGGTATTTATAGTTGATAACCGACTTGTAAGCATTTGATATTATTATACTTTCATGTTAAATACTACTATCTGATTGGTTTAGACGCAGTTGACAATCCGTTCTATTACCCTCAGTCGTAGCAACACACGTGGCAACGGGTAACACAACGTAATGTCACATGCGTGGAAATTATGCGCGTACGGTTCACCGTAGAATTCTCAAAACGTCAGTTGCGCGTTTGAAAGAACCGGAATAAACTTGACGTCAGTAAAAGCTTGTCTCCGATGTAGCTTACAACAAACAACAAAAGACAGACGAAACATGCTTGCGAGTGCAAGAAATGACGAACCTTTAGATGAAAAAGGACTCTTACATTATCAAATTAACAATAAAGAGGTCAGTAAATCTTTTTCGAAATAGCGGGGAATTTGAAAGCTTTCTAAACGTGAACGTAAAGACGATCGACGATTTTTTTGATGACATCCTAAATCAAGAAGACATTCAGTATAATAAAATAAATGGTGCCTGTTTTGGAGGGAAACAGTTGAAATTGACACTCAGGACTCGGAAAACCATTGTCAACCTCCGCTGACGCGTCGGTTGACAATGGTTTTCCTTGGGGTGCCAATTTCAACTGTTACCCTCCAAAACAGGCACCAATATATAATAAAATATATACTCCGTGCACTGAAGGATAGCTATGCTGATTTTCGTCCTCATACATGGACATAGGAAAGGGGGGGGGCACGGGTCCCTAATAATTTTACCGATATATAGAATGCTGTAGAAAACAATACATAGCAAACAATACATAGCAAATCTTTGCTCGTGTCCCCTAAAAGGCTAAATGAACACGTCTGATAGTGCCCCCCCCCCCAGCTGAAAATGTATACTAGTACATGTATATAGCTGTGCCCCACCAACTAAAATTGCTTCCTATGGGCTTCTCGTACACTTACAAAAACAGAAAAATTCCTGACATTTATTTTTTTTCATCAAACAAACGCTACTGGATCCCTACTAGGATCAAACCGGAAGTCATTTATTTCTAGATTTAAAAAACTATAATTATAAAACATCGCCAACCGTAAATATATTTTTTTTCGAAAATTGCCGTACAATTAAAACAATGAGGTTCATTGGCCAAAAGTATATGAATGATAGCTTTTGAGAATGCAACTTAACTCTTGAAGTAATAGATGAATAGCAACATCGAATTTCGTGTGACTTCAAAATTATATCTTTGTCAGTACTGTTGTGTTCTTACTGGTTGAAGCGTAGGTCATTTTTAATGCTTATTATTATAATTTTTTTTTTTAGATAAACTGAGATTTAAACTATTTTTTTTTTCAGAGTACCCAAAATTTAGCTTGTTTGTCTTTCTTTTAATGAAATTAATAAATTCTAAAAAGACGAGTGTTTACATGCAAGAGCAATGTATGTTGCAGGCGCCATGTTGATGGCTATATACCTGAAAGGTCTCACGGACGAAGAAACCGTATGCTTAACTGGAGCTATGAAGAACTCGGGAGATGTACTGGGTCCCTGGCCAGCAGAGTGGGACGGAAAAGTAGTAGACAAACACAGCACAGGTGGCGTGGGTGACAAGATTAGTCTCATTCTGGCGCCAGCTCTGGCTGCTTGTGGAATGAAGGCAAGAGTAGCTAGAAGAGATAAAAACATTAGCATCATAATTTATATTTTACTGCATTCACCATCATAAGATTTTTCTCGCGGCATGTGTGACCTCTCTTGAAACGGGAGATTCTCACGCATCCTAAGCACATGATCTTACCTTTAAAATAGGGGTCAACGTAATTTTTGCCCTCTTTCCATATTTGGATTCTAAGATCGATAATTGTTTTTTATGTCTACCCTTTAACATTCCCTTGACTTTCTTGAGTGGAATTTTTAAAAAGGTAGACCCGTATCGTAATGAAACAGCAAATGTACGAGTATTGCACTCTACCAGATTTTATAATCGAAATGGTAGAAGACTGAAACATTTTTTTTTTAATTTTTCAGGTCCCTATGGTCTCCGGGCGAGGTCTGGGTCACACCGGCGGAACACTAGACAAGCTGGAGTCCATTGAGGGGCTGTCCGTCTCTGCAACTAAGGATAAAATGTTGCAGATATTGACAAATGTCGGCTGCTGCATTGTAGGTCAGACAGAAAATCTTGTTCCCGCCGATAAGAAAATGTACGCCATTCGTGACGTCACTGGAACAGTCGACAATATTGGGCTCATATCAGGTTTTGAAGCATATATATTTTTGCTGTGTATTGCAAATTGCTGATTTTATATTTTTTTGATTAGCTTTTTTTACATTTAATTTGTAAACTCAGTTTATGGACCAACGGAAATCGTACAATTCAATATAAGAAGAAAAACAGATTTAACAGCATTCAAAATCAAGAGATTAGAGTCCTTTCAAAGATAAAGTAAATAATGTCTACTCAAGATCATAGGAAAAAAAAATGGTAATAAAAGTAAAACTAAAACGTTTCCCAACAAAGATTATTATTTTTTCAGGCTCCATAATTTCGAAAAAAGCCGCTGAGCAGCTAAACGCCCTTGTTCTGGATGTGAAATTTGGCGTCGGGGCAATGATGGTGGATGAAGTCAAGTCGAGGGAACTGGCTAAAAAGATGGTAAGATAAAACACATCATATTTAGAGTATTTTGCCACTGCGGGAACAAAATTACATCGTTTGTTAATAAATGTTTTTATATCAATAATCAACACGTTTACCCCTAACTGTCAGTATCTGACATTATATTTTTACATGACTAGTCAGCATGCAGTGGGTGGTTAGTGCAATATTTTTTTTTAAATAAAACATTATCAACTCAGGCTATTTTTCCGCAGCTACCAGAAAGTTAGAAAAGCGGTCGAAATCCTTCCAGTTTGGCCAACATGTATTTCTCAAACAGCAGTGTGGCAACGCACTTTGAAAAAAATTACGCACTTTGAGAAAATATTTCAAAATGCCTTAAAATTGGGACAAAATCAACGCACTTTGAAAAAAATTTTCAAAGTGCGTTTAATTTGGGACACAGTCAACGCACTTTGAAAAAAAATTTCAAAGTGCGTTAAGAGTGTACATAGACATTTTATTTAACGCACTTTGAAAAAATATGCATATAAAACAAAAAATTCTAGACTTAGATTTTAGTGATTGAAAGAATAGTTTTGTAATAATTATATCTTTCGAAAAACTTTACATGTACATGTACTCATTTAACCTCATAGCCTCATTGAGAACAAATAGAAGACGAGTAAGAAGGTCTATCATCAAAACTGTTTTTTCCTTATAAATTGTAGATAGCCGTCGGTAGCAATTTGAAATAGGAACACCCCCCACCCCCAAGGTAAGCCCCAATTTTCAATGCCTATATTATTATGTATATCTTTGCAAAACATTTATGTGCCTAAGCCCCCTCCCCCTCGCGGTACCGATGCCTATGCTACACCCAAATATATGTATTTACATAACTGGTATAAAACTTTCGGTAAATTTTAGTTTACATAAAATGCATGCAAACTGAAAAAAAATTAAGTACAGTAAAACATTTAAGAGAGAAAGAATTTTCAAAGTAAAAATCGCTCACTTTCACAACCTGAGGTGACCTTATCACCGAAGAGTTATCAAACAGATTCAATTATTCATCATAGTTAAGATTTGCAAATATATTGACCAAACCATACACATTTTTTTCAAAGAGCGTTAATATGGTCGATATTAACGCTCTTTGAAAAGAATTTTTATTTTTTCAATTACGTTTATTTAGTCCCAAATTTAACGCACCATGAAAAAAAAAATTTCAAAGTGCGTAATTTATCAAAGTGCGTTGTAACACAGCAGATACTTTAAATGTTGTATTTTTATTTAATTTACTTGTATCAAGTGCTAATAATTTTCTTGTTTAAATTTTTTTTTAAATGGCTTGTTAAATACATTTATATATTAAAGAAATATTCTGAAATTTGCAGAAATAATGTTCATGTGTGTTCATATGCCATGAACAGGTTGAGATTGGTAATGGTTTAGGAATAAAGACAGTGGCTTTAATGACCGATATGAATAACCCAATAGGAAATATGATCGGGAATGCTCTAGAAGTGGCCGAATCCGTGAACTGTCTCCATGGAAACGGACCATCCGAACTGGAGGACCTTGTCCTTAGACTTGGTAATGACAAGTACAAGTACTTCTTTCAGTGGTTTATGATTACCACTTTGATGAAATAGAAATTCACATGATTCATGGTATTTTTTTCTTTGGAGCGACTGAGCTATCGTGAGGACCATAATTCAATTACATTAAGTCAGTTTCACGCTAACGTTGAAAACCTTTTTCTCTTTGTAGGAAAAGTGCGGCGTGTTTCATATAAAATAGCATAATATATTCAAAGAAGCGACATTTTACCAATCTATCTGTTTTGATATAAATAAATGTAAATATTAGTTATAAATTGTAGTTTTGAATGTGTTATCCGCTTTGCAGACAAAGTTCAACTATCGCGGGTTATTTGATTTGTCAGCACATTCGTCGGTAAAATAATGTTTTGCGATGAATGTTCTTTTAGAATGTATAATTCAATGCTTTATAATAATTTGAAATCTTCATATGTTTTTTTATGAGCAAACTTTTATTAAAGAAAGGTAATCAATTGGCTTTGAACTATGCATGTTTTTTATGCTTCCATCATTTTATATTTAGTGTAAATCTTTAAATACATTCTTAGGTGGACAGTTGTTATTTCTTAGTGGTAATGCTAGTTCTACAGAAGAAGGACAAAAGAAACTCAAAGAGACTCTGAACAATGGAGAAGCAGCCAGGAAATTCAAGGAAATGATAATCGCACAAGGAGCAAATCCAGAAAAAGCCGAGGTCTTGTGTACAAGGGGGGCCGATTTGTGGAGTGTACTCCCTAAAGCCAAGACTGTAACTACGCTCAAAAGCAAACACTCTGGTAATTGGATTCTTTCAAGTGTTTCAGTTTATGTCTTTTTTTTTATTTTCCTTCACTTTTTTCACAATGTATAAAATGTCTGTTTTTCTGTGAAAGGTTTCGTCTTTGCTATAAATTCAAGAACCTGTGCCGAGTGTTCTTTGAAACTTGGTGCAGGACGAAAGGCCAGTAGTGACAAAATTAATCATTCTGTTGGCTTGGAAATATGTGTGAATATCGGGGACAGCATTAAAGAAGGTCAGTATGTCGATACTGAGTGCTCATCTCAATTAAAGAGTTTTAGTATGTACTGAGTAATACTTCCCGTTGAATTCCTTGTCATTTAATTCAATTTGTGCATTGTTATTGAAATTTTACTATTAAAGGTGTTAATTTTCAGGTATGGAAAATTATGCGATATTCCATATTTCTAAGACAATAAGGGAAATTCTTTATACTATAATAATTTCTGAAGTTTTCATTTGTTGAACACTAACCTTGTGGAAAGTAGCAAGATGACAGTTGTGTATATTACATGTATAAAATTGAAAAAATGTTTCACTTATCCGAGAAATGTAGTAAACACACTAATATTTTTAACATTTTTTCTTAAAATCATTTAATAAACATATAAATTAAATCGACAAAAATGAATTTGAAATGATACCTCTTCTAGATATATGTTTTATTGACTTGGCAGGTGATGTTTGGATCAAAGTTTATCATGACTGTGACGTCATTCCCGATGACATAATGGCACTTTTAGGCAATGCGATTGATGTGCAGCCATCACAACCGGATATCCTGCCAACTCGTGTCAAGGACATCATATCATAAACGTCTTAAAATAGATAAACGTAATGGTTATATTATACTTCGATCAAAACTTTTCTACCTCTAAATTCTATATCAAGTCTCCTGACTTTTTGTTCTATAAATTTTCAGTTTTATTCAAAATTTAATATTGAACTGAAGGCAGCATATAGAATTTTTAATGTACATTAATCCTGACGATTTTTAAAAAACAATCATGTTTTTAAGAATACATAGTATTACACTGTTTATGGATTTTATACATGTTTTGGAGACTTTACACATTTTTATATACTGTATCAAAAATACATGTATATCCTCCTGACAAACTATGTATTAGTGCTTTATTGATTTATGTGTGAAAGATATGTGTTTTTGAAACAAGCCTTTGGAGAACTGTATAAATTTCATCCCTTGCATACATATCAACAGGTTTAGCATTGTTTTTTTTTCAGACAAAGTTATTTAATTCTCTGGTCCTCTAAGACTACATGTACCAGACAATTTTTCCCTGAGACTTTATTAATTTGGGATCCATCTTCTACAAGGTTTCTTTTTTTCCTTTTTCCTTATTAAGTTATTCCACCAGACCTTTACAAGGAATAGGGTTTCTGGTTCTAGCCAAAGGATAGGGCAAAGTTTTAATTATATAAAAATCAAAGAATTGCATGACATTGAAGGTCTATTAATCTTCTAATCTTTTAGGGAAATTTGCGCTATTCATATAATCACTTATCTCTACAAGTGCCATTAATGCTAGAAAGGATATTTCAGAATTAAGATTTCATGACAAAAAGAGTTTTTTAAAAACCACAAGGTTAAATTAAAAATTAGTGCTGTTCAAATAACCCCTCTGTTCCAATTCTGCTTCATATGAATACACAAATATCTCTCCTAATTACGGGGCTCAGTTGGTACCCATGGGCATTCCAATAGATTGTTGAAAGACCTGGTCTCCAAAAACAACATAGCGGTAAATATTGTCAATCAAAAACGCAAGCATCTTTTTGATGTCGACTTCAGAGTACATATGTGTACAATCAGAATGTTTTTAACAAAGTAATTTTGCAAGTGACCAATGACAAGGTAAGTAATTTTCGCGTTTCATTTTTATTGAAAAAAGCAGCCGTCAATGATATTGAAAAGCATGAACTTTAATTTATCGTGGGGAAAAGTTATGTATAAAGTTCAAAAGTATTTAAGCTGTTGATTTTTCTAAAATCTTGTAATTTCAAAATGTCCAAAAGTTCCTTGGAATTTTTAAATATCCACATCTGATTTACACCACTTCTTGAATATATTGTTGCACAGTACTCTTGAAGTTTCTCCTTCACTACTGTTAATATCTTAGTGAGGAGTAAAGAAAAAGGCTTGGTTGAACATTTACAGGAACCTGCTACGTATCTCTGTTTTAAAACGCATAAGACCTTTACGACCGAATCATCTGAATATTTTTTATTGTAAACCAATGTCAAATTAAGCAATATTACATCAATCTATCTTCCTCTGCCTCTCTCACTTCAACTTTTCTTACCGAGTTGACAAACAAACCTTCTTATTTTATATCTCAAACAAAATGAATACGAGTACATGTAGAATGAACATGCATATGAATAGCATTTAAAGAAGTTAATATGACATAATTTTTAAGATTCTTTAAATGGTTTTTAATTAAAATGAAGTAAGAAAGAGAACAGAAAACCATGTTATTGAATGAAGCAAGGGAGCTATGGTTGTTAAAAGCTATTTAAATTAATTTAAGTTAATTTAATGTATATAATCGTACGCAAAATGCTCATAAATTTAATTACAGTAAAAAGTAAGAGAAAGCCACTTAAAATCTAATTTTATTTTCTTTTCCAGAGAAAAATTTGTTTACATTCATTGTAAATGAACGAGAAGGTTGTGGAAATGAAACCAAACTTTATTTTTATTTCTCATAGATTGTAAATGAATAAACAGGAAACGAAAGTAAAACTAAAACTTTATTACGGGAGAAAAATGACCCTTCTGTGCCTCATCATGTTTATTTTCATATAGATAGACATGTATAGATCGGATTGCTTTACACGTGCATTGTTTATCGAGTCGTGACAGTTAAACAGCAATGTTCAGAATCCCTGATTTACTTGTAAAAAAGAGAAATGGGGAGGCCCTCACCACGGCGGAGATTGAATATTTTGTCAAGGAGGTGGTGAGCGGAGGGGTACAGGAATGTCAATTAACTCGGTAAGAAAAGTTGTAATGAGAGAGGCAGAGGAAGATGGATTGATGTAGCAAACATCTGCAATTTTGATGGAGATTTTTGCTGTTTTCTTTGTGACGCCTCTTTTATATAATGTAATTTTTGAGTTTGAGTACTTTTTATTTTCATCATATTTCTTAAAGATATATTTCATTTTTGTAAGTGCATTTTTCACCTATTTGTTTCGCTTGAAACACATTCAATTCAATTCAGTGCAAACATTAATTGATTTTCAGAGAACCATTGAAAAACAAAAGCAATTATACACTTATAATTATGATATTAGGAGCAGAGAGAACAGTGACACATTTCTTCTCATCAAATATCTATCACAGAACTAACGCTTTGAACTAATTGATCATCTACCAAATCTATACATTTAATCAGGAACACATTCGTTTAACCTTAAGGCGAGCAGTATAATAGCTACATTTATGCCCAGAGATGGTACCTGAAGCCATCCCTGATATAATATATGTACGTGTTTCATCAGCTCCTAATGTAAATTGTTCCAACAAAAGTCCAAATTTTCAATTACAGGTACAGGTTATTTTCGAAACTCACCATTTTGTTATTTTGCATAAATTTGATAATGTCACAATGTTCATATAATTTTTGGTGAAAGGTTAAAATGCTTATACTGTAGTATATACATTAAAATATATTGACAATCAGATAATGTACATCTTTTGAATTAGAATTCAATTACAATTCAGCATAAAAAATAATTGTTTTAAGTGCATCACAGGTGTTTTGCCAGCGCCTTTCATATTCCATAGTTCTACAGATTTGTAACAGCAAAAACTTTTCTATAAAAAAATGTCTATGATTCTCTTCATTAGAATATAAATTTTTAATTTTGGAACACTTATATTTAACAACAAAAATAAATTGTTTTACAATAATTATTATCAAGTAAACTGTAATTCACATTTATTCTTGTTCTCATATTTACCAAAAAGTATATAAAGTCTGTCAAAATAACAATGCATATCAAACTTTTCTAAAATCCACTCTTCAATACTACACATTAATTCTATTTCTATGAAATATTCAACAAATAAGTCAGTAATTGTTTCTATGTTTCCTGAGCAAAAATTACATTCTGGTCAATCAATTAACTTTAATCTATACAAAAGATTATTTGTTAGGATAATTTTGAGTATAATATTTGAAATTAAACCAGTATAATTTAGATTTTCGAGTAATTTTGAACGTAAGTTCAAAACAGGTACATTATTTCAATCTGCTTCACAAAAGAAAACATCGTTTTCCTTCCATTTTATAAGAGAACTGATTCACTCTCTCTTTATATAGATAAATATGTTGTACAAATCCTTACATCCTTTATCAGTCCAGTCCAATACGAAAATTCGTAATATTACAAGTTATCGTAATATAAAACTTATATTACAATTTTTCGTAATGTAGTTAAATTACGAATACGCGTAATATAGCAGATTGTAAGAGATTATATTACGAGTTTTCGTAATCCAAGACAAATCCAAGCATTGCAAGAAATTGAGTGGTGGGTAGCAAAGTATGACGTCAGTAATATATCAGATTCCACGGCTACTGATAGCACGGGGTCAGTTTATTCAGTTACGCCGATCAGAAAGCATGGAAATTCAAGAAGAAAGTACCGCCAGCGATGGGTGAGTGGACAATTTCTTTCATTATTCTTTTATAGGAATTTTCCCAAGGATAAGACCAATTTTCCAGTAAATTTCAATATTCACTTAAGCATGTCGCATTGGTCTATATCACCCGAACTCCCTACTTTTCTTCCGAAGTCTACCCTAAAAATCACACCCTCGTCTCATAATTCAACTGTTCGCGCAATTCTTATTTGAAATACACAGAATTCAAATCTCAGTAAGAGTCGTACAAGTTATCGCCCGTGACATCTCGTATCAAACGTCATACTTTGCTACCCACCACTCAATTTCTTGCAATGCTTGAATTTGTCTTGGATTACGAAAACTCGTAATATAGTCTCTTACATCTGCTATATTACGAGTATTCGTAATTTAACTACATTACGAAAAACTGTAATATAAGTTTTATATTACGATAACTTGTAATATTACACTTTCTCGTAACCTTACGTTTTTTAGTAATATTACGAATTTTCGTATTGGACTGGACTGTTTATATTTCCATAGCATAGTTTTTAAGAAAAATGAAATTTTTGGCCAAATAATCCTTAATCTTTTAAAATGATTTTTAAATGTGTTACTTTGAAATTTCTTGGAAAAAATTAGAAGTCTTTATGCATTCTAACACAAATAAAGTGTCCTTATAAGCTTTCTATTTATACATCTAAAAGAGAGATAGACATTGTAAATGTATATATATATTTATGCGTGAAAAGAAGAAAACTCTTGTGACCTTCAATTCAACATTTATATAATAGTGTTGCATTATGCATGTACATGCATAATGCAACACTATTGTTATTATTATGCTGACTGTTGTTATTATTTATGCGGCAATCCATTTGATTTTTTTCCCGAAAATAATGGTGGTAACACAGCGCACTGGCAAAAATTCATTCAAAATCTTCATGCTAAAATTAGTTGCATGCTTAGTTATTTTGGTTACTAGTATTTTCTCTAAATAAGTCAGAATTTTCTGTCCCAAAGATACTCATCTTTATTTTCTGTTTTGTTAGTAAGACTGATTTGTTTACAGACGTGGATTCTCATTGATAATTTTCTTTTACATCCTTCAATCAAGCGCTATATAAAAAAGCGTTTTAATGACCCCATGATATGAATTCATCTAACCATCTGTATGTAATTAGTTTGAAACTTTGTTGTACACATTTATCTAAAATTCATTAGAATAAATATAACTGTTTTCAAATAATATTTGTCTATTTTCTCCTTCTTGTGTCAATTGTATAAATTAAGTTTATATATTTAATAAAATTCTCACAATCAGTGATCGTCTCTGTGACGTAATCGATAAGGCATCGGACTGGCAACCTCATGGTCGTGAGTTCGATTCCCGGTGTGTGCATTGAAGAATTTTATTCAGAAATTAAGGCCGTGCACTATTTCGGCATAGTATGCTTACGCTATATAAATCCTTAGACCACTATGCGAGAATAGTAGGGTATGGGTTATATAGAGACAAACTGACAGGAAGCATAATAATAAGATATATCGACGACGTATTG